CTGCCAGGTTGGGGGGGATCTCTGCTGCCCCTCACTGCCCCCCACTCCCCCCACTGCCCCATGCTGTTTGGGGGGCTCTGCATGAGCCCCCCTGGCCTCTCCCTGCTGTCCCAGCCCCCCCGCCCCCATGGCTGCCCTGCCCACCGTGTCTCCAGCCCTTTAAAAAAAAAAACCTGAGAAAAACCCCTGTACTCACCTTTTCTGCTGCATGGGGGGGTTATCCCTGATGCCTCATGCCATTTGGGGGTCTCTGCATGAGCCCCCCCAAAGCCCTGAGAGCGCTGCAGGAGTGGTGAGTCCCAGGGTTTCCTCAGATTTTTTTTCTTAAAGAGCTGGAGCTGGGGTGGGCGGGGCAGCCTCGGAGGGCCTGGGGAAGCAGGAGGGGTCAGGGGACTCGTGGCAGAGCCTGCCATGTGGCATGGACCAGTGGAGATTGTCCCCCTGCCCAGCAGCACCCGGTAAGTGGGGCTTTTTTTTTTAAACTACTGGGAGCTGGGGCAGGAGGGGCAGCCATGGGGGGGGTGCTGGGGGAGTGGGCAGGGGTCAGGGAAGGGGGAGCAGGGAGGGGATGGAGACTGGCCGTGGTCCTCCCCATGGTCCGCTACCCTCACCCCCACCCCTACTTACCAGCTCTGAGTCCAGCTGCAGCTACTGGGGACTGTCTGAAACATCGAAGCTCTCCGACTCTTTGCTGAAGATTCGGAGAGCTTTGAATAGATTCAGGCCTTTTAATTGGTCCCCTGATTCAATTCAGATTCGGCCACTGAATTGGGCCGAATCTCCTCCGAATCGAATCACCACCTGTAGCTTCGCACAGCCCTAATTTATACCCTTTATATGCTTTAGCTAGTGACTGAAAATCTCATTTTTGTTTTCATTTAGGTAACATCATTGTACAAGAAAGATCTCCGAGATTACTTACATAAGCAAAACCTTGGCTCATCGTTAACAGAAAATAAAGAGCTTCTTTGTGAACATAAGGAAATGGAATTCAAAGCTAAGGTAAGAAATGTGAAAAATACTAAATGAAACAACTGAAAAAGGAAATATCACATTTTTATATATGCATATATGTATACATCTTAATTTATACATGGTGCAGGTGAATACTCTGTGTTTGCATAAGGCCCCTGCTACATGTTACATATAATACACAATTAACTGGCTAATTATGCAATAAGTTTAGACCAGTCACACATGCAAAGTAAGATCGTCCACAAATGCAAAGTAATTATCACACAATTAACTGCATAATAACACAATAAATTTAAACCAGCCACATGTGCAAAATAATTACCACACAATAAAAATGACTATCCATCTATAAAAAGAGCAAGCCAGCTATAAAGTTATGTGTTCAAAATATATAACAACTATATAACTGGCTTCTATCCAGCTTTAATTTGAATCTATAGCAGGGCCCTGAGAGAGAGGTATTTTCGACATAAGTTGTGTTACACATACAATGCTCTTGGTTCTTTTTTCATTTCCTAACCTTTATTGCATTAATATAAAGCAATGGGAAAGTAATTTTATACATTGTTTAATAATAATTAAACAATCTGATGGTCAGATAACCACACTTATAATTTATAAATAAAAGCAGAATCTTTGTGACAAATTTTAAAGGCTAAAAGGGAAGCAAATAGAACAATTCAAGAGAGTTTTGATAACAGTAAAATTTGGCAGTCAATTATTATTACAGTTGTGCATTTTCAGTGAAATTTGATTTAAACACAGTCAATGGAACTTACATTTCAATGGGAATTTTCAGCTATATATTTTAAATACATTCTCTTAATGAAAGGGTTGCATTCCAAAAAAACCTTGCATAAAGCAAATTCACATAAAGTGAATCCATTATTACATGTAATTAATAGGGATACATACCAGCCTCACTCTGCTGCCCCCACAAACCATGACAGATTCAAGCAGTAATCACACAACACAGTAACTGCTGCATGGAGAGGCTGTGAGCTTCGCTCTGCAAGCAGCAGCATGTGCAGGGGGTGCATCGCCAGGGCAGTGCGGGGCAGGCTGGACAGGCACTTGGGGGAGGGAAGCAGGATGGAAGGGAATGCTGGCTGCTCACTGCTCCTGGATCTGCCCTGCTTCCCTTCCCCAGGTGCCTCTCCAATCCGGCAGGCGCAACTCAGAGCAGCTGGGAACAGTGGGGCTGCGCAGAGAGGCTACAAGCTCCCTGCTGCACTGGGTCATGCAGGGAATAAAATAGAACCTGGCTGATAGGACAGACATGCTTTGTGCAAAAGACTTTGTTCCTCTATAAGACTCATTTGTTCAGTTCCTGTTGCTGCTATGGTTTATTTAAGCGTTACCATTTATAGTTATCTATTCATCCATGCACATAATTAATGGTTGACAATTTCAATGTATGCAAAATAAAATACTCTTCTAATGCCTCTCTTAAGTATCCCAGTTGTTGTTTTTTTGTGGTTTTTTGGGGGGTGGGGGTTAATCTAGAAAGCTTTGTTCCTCTAAAACTGCATAACTGTATTCTCCTATTGAATACATGTTGCTCTGGACTCTAACAATGATGGTGTGAAAAAGTGATGACAAATTTTCAGGGCATTTCCAAACAAATAGTGACCTGCTCAGAGAGGTTGATGACCTGACATATCTTTGAGTCTCTCTGTATCTGGATGATGATTAATCCCCAGGAAAGTCCCTGCTCTGAGGCTGCCCTTACAATTTAGTCTTTGAACTGAAAAAAAATCCCATGACTACACTTTAAAAAATACACACATCTTCATTTTGTACAGTAGTAGAACCACATGCAAGGTTGGGGTCACTGGAAAGCACTTCAATAATAATCATTATTGACTTATTTTAGTAATTTTGCATCCATATGTTAAGTAATTAAGTTGTTCATATCAACTTATGGTATCTTATTCTTTTTATATGGCTATTTTAAAGCATCATTTAGCTTTGGAAGCTATCGTTACAGAGCCATGCAAATTATGGCTTAGTATAACTTACGTTTATCCTCCCATTGATTTATTAGCGGCATGGTCTAGCTCAGAGAAATGAACTTTTCAGAGTGAATCTTGCTGTAAACATATGCCTATACTTACAGTGTGAAATGTAGGCACAGAAGCCAGCTTGAACTGCACACTGGAAATGTATTGCAGAAAGTTGAATTACAGTTCTGGGTAGGTTACTTTGTCATACCGCTACTATGCTCATATTAAAAGCAAAAGGAAAGGGAGTCTGACACCTTGATTCCCAAGTTTCAAATAAAATGCATCAATTTAATAAGTATTCTAATAAACATTGCTAGAAAGGCCAAGCTTTATATTAAATATTTTCATTAGACATGCTGATTTTTTGGCCTCAGATCTAGAAACAAAAGCTGATGAACTTGACAGTTTCATTCACAGGCTAAGTAAAATTGGAATAAAACAAATATTCAATACCTGTGGAAGATGAAAATAGCATAGCACCCTTGTTGGCTATTGCACAGGGGAACATACTTGCACCTTAAACCTCCAGGCACTCATCTGTTGTTAAATGCCCTGTCTGAGGTAATTTTACTATATTTTATCTCCAAACTTTACTGAATCTCTTTAATAAGGTGGGAGATGCATTTCTATATAACTCTGGAGCCACTAAATCAAAGTTCTGAAGGAGTAATCAAAAAGCCCCAAATCCTTATTGGTTCATGTGCACTGTGTGCATATGTGTCTGTAAAATATATGAGATAACATGCAAAATACATAGCAGAGGCTTAGTGCTATATAATCTGAACCTAGGCCCTTACAACTGTTTAAATCCTTATTAAATTCTACCATTTAAAATGTTCTCAGCCTTGAATCTCTACAAGGGCAGATTTTGACAGTCTCCAAATTCTGATGCTCTGCATTGTGAAAATTTTAAATTTTGACTGTATGCATTATCATGTTAGGATTAAATTTGTTTCATCATGCCAAATTCTGTTTATCTTGCCATTATATTGGTAGCAGCTGTAGACATAGCTCTGAAGTGTGGGCAGATGACCACATCATGTCCAGTTAAGAGAAGAAGCCTTATTCTTTGAATTGAAGCAACTTGTTACTTGTCTGCTCCTGTCTCATTGTAAGTCAAAACTAAACCGTGGTAACTTAGTCCTGTTTTTTTCAAGGGTAAGTTTCACTTACTATCCCAGGACAACCAGGACCATCTTAAATGAGACATCTGTTTACAGCCCAAGTCATCCCTCCTGTTAACTCTGTAACTTGTTCATGTGTCCAGGCTCAAATAATGTTTCCAACTATAGTAACAGCAATTACTGTAATAGAATTATCTCTTGAAAAGATAGTCATCATTACAATTAAGTCTTTATTGCCTGGCTTCCAAAATAGTAGACTCAGAAGTTATTATTCAGGTTATAGCGTAGGTTATTATTTAATCAGGTATCCTTTGTTAGTCCTTCAGCTACTTTTAACTATCTATTTATAGAAATAATTTCTCTTTCACCAGGAAATTCCCAGATTCATAAATCTTGTATCTTCTAATTGAGCTGCAGCTTATTTCTTAGACACCTTGTGTTGATTTAAAATTCCAAGCAATAATGAATTCACCCCATCCTGCAAGAGTTGTTCTAGTGCTTAATTACTCTCATTGTTAAATTGTCTTGCTCTGTATCTAGCATGAGTTTGTCCAGTTTCAGGTTTCAGATTTTGTGAGGCTTTTGTCTATTAGATTAAAGCAGCTTGTGCAATTGCAAATATTCTCCTCACATAGGTCTTTGTAGACCATGATCTAGAAACCTCCTAATGTTTTATTTCATAAACTAGGTAGGGAACTTAGCAAACTCATTCATTTTGAGACAGGTTTTCTATACCCCAAATAATTCCTGCAGCAATTTTAATAAACCCTTTCCAATTTTTCAGCCACTGTTCTAAAGTGTGACTTCAAGGACTGGACTCAGTATTGCAGGAGTAGAGAGAGGTGGTCTGTCTCAGCAGTCCACTAATGGTCTCCTTTGTGCTATGTAAAGACAAATGCTACTCCTTTAATTCAGCTCCTTGTCCTGCTTATATATCCTCAGAGGACATGTGCACTTGGTCATCCACCATGACCCTCAAGTTCAGAGTCACTGCTTCCTAGGAGGTAATCCTTCATTCTGTATGTGACCTTGTTCTTAGATATGTGACCCTGCAGTCAGCCGTAAAGGAAACAGGATGTTCAAATGAGTCCACCTTATGAGGGATCCACATTAATCTCTATTAACTGACCCATTTATTATTTAACTCTCCACTATTTTTGTCATTTTCAGGCTTTATAAAGCATTTTAATTCCTTCCAAATCACTTAAAGCTACTGAATAGCATTGGAGTAAGAGCAAAAACCAAAGCAAAACAAAAAAATCCCAAAGACAGCATTATAGAAAATATACCACACTAGCAGTAACCAGCTTTCTGTAGGAACAATATTTTCCCAGAAAAGAATTGTGCTGAATTCATGCTGAAACAAAGTTACAGTGTACAAGATCACTTTCAAGTGCTACAGCTACCCAACATACTGTGCTTTTGAGGAGATGGCAGTCTCTCCTCCCCATGGAGCAACATTTTGCAAGAAAGCCTGCTACCAGGTGCTCAAATGCAGAGGTGATTGCATTTTCTGGAGAAGCTTTTGAACCCCAGATTAGTGTAAATTCCAGCCAAAAGTATTTATTTAGGAAAATGTACTTGTCACATACTCAGCTTTTTGCCACACACATTGTACATGGAGTTATTTGGATTGGTTTCAGTCTGATTAATTATTACTATGTTTCATTCTCATATTAGTCTTTGACTAGTCTGATGCTTGAACTGAGGATTTATTATGCACCCTGACCCTTTTTGTGAGTACTAGGTGACAAAATTGTAAAATACTTGTAAAAAAAAGAATGGCTTTAATAAATCGAGCTCAAATTTTCTGAGGTAATTACTAGGCAAACCTTGGAATCTATAAAATACTGTGTAAGACTAAGGAATTGCTGCATATAATCTAATTTAAACAGAG